TTTTAAAGATGGGGTTTCACCGTGATGGCCAGGCTGGTCTTGAACTCCTGACCTCAGGTCATCCACCCACCTCGGCCTCCCAAAGTGCTAGGATTACAGGCATGAGCTACCACGCCCGGCCTTTGTTTCTTTTTATATATAGTAATCCTTCCTCATCCATGGTTTTTTTCTTTATGTTTTCAGTTACTTGTAGTCAACCTTGGTCTGAAAAGATTAAGTGGAAAATTTCAAGAAATAAACAATCTATACGTTATAAATTCGCACCATTCTGAGTAGGGTGATGAAATATCTTGCTGTCTCGCTTCCCCTACTGGGAACATGAATCATCCCTTTGTCTAACCTGTGCACATTCTCTATGCTGCTTACCTGCTAGTCACTTTGGAGCCCTCCCAGTCATCGGATTGACTGTCGTGGTTTTGCAGTGCTGATGTTTGAGGAACTCTTGTTTTACTTAATGGCCCCAAAGCCCAAGAGCAGTGATGCTGGCTTATTGTTATAATTGTTCTATTTTATTATTAGTTATTGTTGTTACTTTCATACTGTTCCTAACTTACAAGTTAAACTTTATCATAAATATGTATATATAGGAAAAAACTGTATATAAAATTGTGTTAAATCTGCCTTACTGGGAGTCTTGGAACTTAGTTTCTGCTTCGTTTCTTTCCTAACTTATTTTATTAAAACAAGCATTTTTGTCTTAAATCTAGGTGAGAAAACACGACAGCCTTCTTCAAGCCCCTCCAGTATCATCCGACGCACTTCCTCCCTGGATACTCTTGCTGCACCATATCTTGCTGGGCACTGGCCTCGGGATAGTCACGGGCAAGCTACCCCTTGCATGAGGGACAAAGCTACACAGGTAGGCTTATTATAGTTCTTGTCCTGAAGTGTTTTTCTCAGAAGCCACTTCTAATATTATTCATTCTGTTTTGAGTAGAATGAACATCAGTGTATATTAGAATTAACTTGAGAAACTTACCAAAAAGAGCAGATTCCAAAAGAGCAGATTCCAAGCCTGACCTTGAGGTATTCTGTAGTAGGTCTTGGTTGGGCCCTGGGAATGTGCATTTTAAATAGTTATCACAGTAATTCTGATTCATACAGATATTTATGGACATACTTTTTTCCCAATTGTTGTTTATAAGTTAGTTTGCAATAGGGGTGTCCAATCTTTGTCTTCCCTGGGCCACATTGGAAGACAAAGAATTATATTGGGACACATATGAAATACAGTAACACTAATGATAGCTAATGAGCTTTAAAAAAATTGCAAAAAATTTATAATGCTTTAAGAAAGTTTATGAATTTGTGTTGGGCTGCATTCAGAACCATCCTGGGCCTCATGAGGCCCTTGGGCTGTAGGTTGGACAAGCTTGGTTTACAACATCATAATATATTTAATGTATGGAATTTGGCCTTTTGTAACAGCGAAGATTACTGAACATCTAACCTTGTGTTTTTCTACCAAAAAACCTTCGTGTGTTGGGTGATGGGTACTGTATTGCTTTGCTGATAGATTCTAAAAATGTAAATATCCTGACAAAGGGACTCCGGAAGCAAAGCTTTATACTTCTAGGTTTGTAAAATTTTTTAATATAAAGGGATCTTAAAAAATTGTTCAGGGCCGGATAGGGTGGTTCATGCCTATAGTCCCAGCACTTTGGGAGGCCGAGATGGGTGGATGGCTTGAGCCCAGGAGTTCAAAACCGGCCTGGACAACATAGCAAAACCTCATTTCTGCAAAAAATACAAAAATTAGCCAGGCATGCTGGTGCACATCTATAGTACCAGCTGCTTGGGAGGCTGAGGCAGGAGAATCACTTGAGCCTGGGAGGTCGAGGCTGCAGTGAGCGGTGATCATACCACAGCATAACCTGGGTGATAGAGTGAGAACCTGTCTCAAAAAATGAAAAAGAAAAAAAAAAACAAAGAAGAAATCATTCAAATCTACCCCTTAGTTTTACAGATGAAGAAGATGAGGTCTGAGATCATACAACTCATCTTAGTTGGTATAATTTCTTTCATAGTACTTACCACAATTAATTAAATATTTGTGTAGTTATTTATTTATGGCTTCTTACATTTACTAGACGGTAAGCTCCGCAAAGATAGGGATTGTGTCTGACTTGTCTATTGCTGGCTGATTTTTTGTGTTTTTAGTAGAGATGAGGTTTTGCCATGTTGGCCATGCTGATCTCTAACTCCTGACCTCAAGTGATCTGCCCGTCTCAGCCTCCCAAAGTGCTGGGATTACAGGCATGAACCAAGGTGTTGGTCCCGAATGAAAATTTGTTAAAGAACCAAGTAAACATACTTTTCTGTGGTGGTTTTGGATTTGTATATTGATTTCCAAAATTCCAGGTATTCTTAGTAGGTTCAGTTTGTTTTCTGTTGATAATCTTGAAAGAGAGTCCAACTATTAGGGCAGGAGATTAGGATTTGTATTACCTTGGTGTTTATACTTAAGTGCCAACTACGGAAACGAAAATGTAGACTCTGTGCTCATCAAAAGTAATTAATGTTTTCTGAAATTGAATTTTTTTTTTTTTCTTTTCCTGGCATGGAGTCTTGCTCTGTCACCAAGGCTGGAGTGCAGTGGCGTGATGTTGGCTCACTGTAACCTCCGCCTCTTGAGTACAAGCAATTCTGCCTCAGCCTCCCAAGTATCTGGGACTACAGGCACATGCCTCCATACCTGGCTAATTTTTGTATTTTGAGTAGTGATGGGGTTTCACCATATTGGTCAGGCCGGTCTCGAACTTCTGACTTCAGGTGATCCGCCCGCCTCAGCCTCACGAAGTGCTGGGATTACAGGCATGAGCCACCGCGCCCAGCCTGAAATTGACTTTTTTAACCAAAGAGTTCTGTGAAACTTTGCAGTTATTCACAATCTGTAACTTAGCTGAGCTTAGGCATGTAGTATGGAAAATGAATATAGTGTCTACTTGCTTTCTGCTTAATCCACTTGTCACACTTAAATTTGTAGAAAGTTTATTTCTTTGAACATTTCTACAGCACCCTTTATTTCCACTGCAGTTTTAGGTTCAGTGGGCTCAGACATTTTGTCATATTAGTAAGAGTATGCTATCATACAAGCCATTGGGAGCTCCTTGATCTGTGGAAGCAGTTCAGTAAACCTTATCAGCAAATTGCTATGACCTACATCCACCAATATTCAATTAAAATATAAACCCTATAATCTCTGCCTTTTTCTAAATGTCCCCCAAATTGGGAATGTTAAGGGTACAAATAAGAAAATTTAGGGCTGGACATGGTGGCTCACACCTGTAATCCCAGTACTTTGGGAGGCTGAGGCGGGTGGATCACCTCAGGTCAGGAGTTTGAGACCAGCCTGACCAATAGGGTGAAACCCCGTCTCTACTAAAAATACAAAATACAGCTACTCGAGAGGCTGAGGCAGGAGAATTGCTTGAACCTGGGAGGCAGAAGTTGCAGTGTGCCAAGATCATGCCACTGCACTATAGCCTGGGCGGTGGAGCAAGACTCTGTCTCAAAAAAAAGAAAAGAAAAGAAAATTTGTAATTATCATCATACTGTTAATCTTATTTGTACAGCTCATGTGTAGAATATCCTAAAGGGTAATGCGGTGATAACTGGGCACTCCAGCCTTTGAGTTACATAGTGGGCTCTCATCTTTGGTAAATGAATTTAGCACTAACACAATTAATCAAAAACTCTCAAATTCTTTATCGGCATATACTGGTTTTCCCTAACTGTATGCTAGTTAAGTCAACTTTTAAAAATTGAAGTTAAAATATATAAAACATAAGATTTGCTGGTTTGACTATTTAAAAACACATGCCTATGTCATTTTATTGCACTTTATTGGGCTTCGCAGATACTGTGTTTTTTTGCAAATTGAAGGTTTGTGGCAACTCTGCATTTAGCAAGTCTGTTGGTGCCATTTTCCAAAAATGTGCAAAAATGTGCTCATTTCATGTTTCTCCCCCATTTTGCCAGTTCTTGCAGCATTTCAACCGTTTTCATTATTATTTTATGTGTTATGGTGAACTGTGCTCAGTGATCTTTGATGTTACTGTTGTTTTGAGGGGCTATGAAACACGCCCATATAAGATGGAGAACTTAATTGATGAATGTTGTGTGTATTCTGACTGCTGTTCCCCTGAGTCTCTACCTCTCCTTGGGCCTCTCTGTTTTCTCAGACACAACAGTATTGAAATAAGACAAATCATTAACCTTACAATGGCTTCTAAGGTTGGTTAAGTGAGGTGACAAGTTGCATGTCTATTTAAATAAAAAGCTAGACATGATTAAGCTTAGAAAGCAAGGCATATCAAAAGCTGAGATAGACCAAAAGCTAGGCCTCTTACACCAAACAGCTAGCCAAGTTGTGAATGCAAAGGAAAAGTTTTTGAAGGAAATTAAAAGTACTACCTGAATGAATACATAAGGAAGTGGAACAGCTTTATTGCCAATATGGAAAAAAGTTTTAGTCTAGATAGAAGCTCACACCAGCCACAACATTCCATTAAGCCAAAGCCTGGAGTAAGACCTTAATTCTTCTCAGTTCTTAGGAAGGCTGAGATAGGCAAGGAAGCTACAGAAGAAAAGTTTAAAGCTAGCAGGTTGGTTCATGAGGTTGAAGGAAAGAAGCTATCTGCATAACCTAAAAGTGAAAGGCAAAGCAGCAAGTACTGATATATAAACTGTAGTAAGTTATCCAGAAGATCCAGCTAAGATTACTGTTGAAGGTAGCTACACTAAACAATAGTTTCTTTCTTTTTTTTTTTGAGATGGGGTCTTGCTCTGTCACCCAGGCTGGAGTCCAGTGATGCATTCATAGCTCGCTACAGCCTTAAACTCAAAGACCCTGGGCTCAATCAGTCCTCCTGCCTCAGCTTCCCAGGTAGCTGGCACTGTAGGTACACACTGACATGCTTAGCTATTTTTTTTTTTTAAGTTTTTGTAGAGATGGTGTCTTGCTATGTTGACCAGGCTGATATTAAACTCCTGGCCTCAAGCTGTCCTCTCACTTTGGCCTCCCAAAGTGCTGGGATCACAGGTGTGAGCCACTGCACCCAGCTAGATTTTTAGTGACAAAACAGCCTTATCTTGTAAGAAGATGCCATATAGGACTTTCATAGCTAGAGAGAAGTCAGTGCCTGGCTTTAAGGGACAGATTAGGTCTCTTGTTAGGGGTCAAATGCAGCTGGTGACTCTAAGTTGAAGCCAGTACTCATTTACCATTCTGAAAATCCTAAGGCTCTTAAGAACTATGTTAAATCTACTCTGTTTTTGCTTGATACATGGAACAACAAAGTCTGGATGCCAGAACATCTTTTTATAGTATGATTTACTGAATATTTTAAGCCCACCATTGAGACCTACTATTTGATTCCTTTCAGAATATTACTGCTCATTGGCAATGCCCCTGGTCACCCAAGAGCTCTGATGCCAGTATACACAGAGAGGAATGTTGCTTTTATGCCTCCTAACACGACATTCATTTTGCAGCCTGTGGATCCAAGAAATAATTTTGACTTTCAAGTCTTATTATTAAGAAAATAGATTTAATGAGGCCGTTGATGCCATAGATACTGATTCCTCTGATGTATCTGGGCAAAGTAAATGGAAAAGCTTTTGGAAAAGACTCGCCATTCTAGGTGCTGTTAAGAACATTTGTGATTTGTAGGATTAGGTCAAAATATCAACATTATCAGGAGTTTGGAAGAAATTGATTCCAACCCTCATGGATGTCTTTGAGGGTTTCAAGACTTCAATGGAGGAGGTCACTGCAGATGTGGTGGAAATAGCAAGAGAATTAGAATAGAAGTAGAACCTGAAGATGGGATTGAATTGCTGAAATCTCATGATAAA